TGAGGAGGGGGTCCTGTGTGCATTAGGCCTTATTTTTGAGGCAGCAATATACACCTTATGGCTCATTCACAACGGCATGTGCTGGACCTGCTTTAACAGCGCCCAGAAAACACGGCTTTCGCTGGGGGGCACACATGCTCGCCAGGGGAGGAGCCCCCAGCCAGGAATGCCAGCGGTGACCCGAATAGAAGAGGATTGGTGCTGGGACAAGGGGTGGTGGCGGAAGGGGCCATGGCTGGAACATGCCCACTGGGTGTGGTGGCAGGCGCTATGTGAGAGAAGGGGCGCTGAGAGAGGCAGATGATTGCTCCTTAGCTTGCTAGCTATGCTGATTGGGACAGGATACTGACCCCTTGATTGTGCGCATCACTTGCTGTTATTTGAAGGTGTGCACAAATTGTGCAGGCTGCGATAGCTACTGGAGGGAGGATTTTTTCTCCCCCCTCCCTCCAGCATGGCTACGGGACTGGGTCTCCTCCCCCTGGCAGTTTCAGGCTTTGGTGTAGGAAAACCCCGACTCTGAGGCGCTGTGCCAGCTATTGCTGCTTGTGTGGGTGGGATTGGGGGGGCTTAAGGTCGTTTTTTTCTCCTCCCCCCTCCCTCCAGCTACGGGACTGGATCTCCTCCCCTGGCATTTCAGGCTTGGGTGTAGGAAAACTCAGTCTGAGGCGCTTGCTATTGCTGCTTGTGTGGGTGGGATTGGGGGGGGGGGGGCGGGGGGGGGGGGGGGAGGGGGGGGGGGGGCGGGGGGCATAACCACCCCATTTCCCCCCACCTTGCATTGGTCTCAGTGCATGAATGTTAACCCCCATCCCCCTACCTTGTATTGGTCTTCATGGCAGTGAATGTCAATACCTTCATGCCTCCCCCCACCTTGCATTGGTCTTCATGACAGTGAATTTGCAATGCTGGGGGTTATTAAAGTATAAGTTTTGGATAAAGTGGAGATGGATTAGTACACCTGACAGTTTTTATTGCTGTTTTTGCCCCCATTATGGAGATTTGCCCTCTCTATTTGTCCTGATTATCATTGAAAGTAAAAGAAAATCCCAGATTTAAATTGTCTCCAGAAAAGTAATAGCGGGGACATCTTCTAATGGGGACACTAGTTCTGGTAACCTGGGGGTCCACAAGGATTCCTCTCATTCCTTGTTTGGCTATTGGACAGGAAGCAAAGGGAAATCCCTGCAATGAGACATCAATGGTGAAAAAAAAAATCTGACTGGGCTTTTAACCTTCCCTTACCCTATCCAAAATGGGGGGGGGAACAAAAGTTTTGCCTATAGTTCCACTTTAATGCGTCCACTGACACCAATGCTGGGGGGTTAATAATGCATCCACTGACATCAATGCTGGGGGGTTAATAATGCGTCCACTGACATCAATGCTGGGGGGTTAATAATGCGTCCACTGACATCAATGCTGGGGGGTTAATAATGCGTCCACTGACACCAATGCTGGGGGGTTAATAATGCGTCCACTGACATCAATGCTGGGGGGTTAATAATGCGTCCACTGACATCAATGCTGGGGGGTTAATAATGCGTCCACTGACATCAATGCTGGGGGGTTAATAATGCGTCCACTGACACCAATGCTGGGGGGTTAATAATGCGTCCACTGACACCAATGCTGGGGGGTTAATAATGCGTCCACTGACACCAATGCTGGGGGGTTAATAATGCGTCCACTGACATCAATGCTGGGGGGTTAATAATGCGTCCACTGACATCAATGCTGGGGGGGTTAATAATGCGTCCACTGACACCAATGCTGGGGGGGTTAATAATGCGTCCACTGACACCAATGCTGGGGGGTTAATAATGCGTCCACTGACATCAATGCTGGGGGTAATACTTGTGTCCAGAAAGGAGGGCACTTTGGTGATGGTACAAAGTCAATTAGTGCCCAGGACAATCGGTGCAGTGTAGATTGCTGAGCATTGTACTGTTTTGTTAAAAACTTTATCATGGTGGATTGTCTCATACTGTGCCGCACTAAAAGAAATTACTATATGCAGTACTTTTTTTTTTTTTTTTCTCCAGCACGCACCACTGCAATACAGTGGTGTGAACTGGACATTACAGAGACAAGGCATTGGTGTGAATATTCCTTAAAGAGGGAGCAGTAAAACCACATCTCAACTTTATGGGTTTACCATCCCCAACCACACACGTGAAAGGCTACTGGGAAAAAAAAAATTTGAAATTGGAGCAGGCTTGTAAAGGCTGCAGTGAATTACTTTGCCCAGGGGCCCATGATGCTATTAAGATGTTACCTATGGTGTCGGTTCACAGTGGTGTTCACTGCAAAAAAGACTATAAATTAAATTTTTTTTCTTAGTGCAGCAAGTTGGGATGCTAACTACTGCATCACAACACCACTGTGTGAATTTAACTTTCACTTTGATATTTGAATAAAGTTCAGACAAAAAAAAAGCTAAATGGTGTAGTGTGCTGGGATCGGCATGGTTGCTGCCAGTGCACACCGGTGGCTGTTTGGTGTGAACACAGCGTTAAAGAAAATTGAAACCCTAACAGGATGATGTTTAGTTTGCTAAAGCATTGTGTATGATAAACAATTGACATTTTTTTAAAATCATAAAATCCTTTAGTGACTGAGGTAAAACAAATCCTAATGAACACAATCAAAAGAAAACTGGCTCAAAATAGTAAAAAATCATTTTTTTTAATTTAGTATATTTCTTGTTACTACCATAACCTACCACCAAAGAAGAACCCAAAATAAATTCTCCTGCTCCTGACATATCTCTCTTCCATTCAGAGAGGAAAAAAACGGAGGGGTGGGCTGCACAGAATGTTACTTGGCCAATCAGATGCTATCACAGTAATCAGGTGACCTGGGGCTCCCAGTGACGGCCTGTTCTCTGTGCTGGGAGAGAGCTGTGTGTCCCGTCCCCAGCACAAAGACAGATGTGCATATATGGGGCCACATGGAAAAAGCCCTGTTCTGTGGGGGTGCATGTATGTGTATGCTGGTGTGAAGCGGTTAATGAATTTTTTTTTTTTTCACACATCTATCCACATGAACTTGCTCCAGTGTCACATACCAGGTTTGTAGAGCCTGATGTGATGAGGCAGATCTCTCTTACAGCTCTGACTCATGGAACCAGTGGTAGTGAGACCGTGGCTGCAGGAGTGCGGTAAGGTGCCCAGCAGGCTGCACAAGTAAGGGGCTGGTGCTTCGACATGAACGCATCAGATGGCTAGGACAGAAGATGGCAATAGGTGCAGCAGACCCTGAACCTGGCAGATGGTAGGCTGGCAGATGACTGTCTGTGGGTTCTGGACAGGCTCTCAGGCACTAGCTGGCAGAAGACCGGTAGGGACCAGGTAAGTAGCGTTCTGGTCAGGAGATGCTAAGCAGACAGGTAAGACCAGATGCTTGGTCAGGCGAGCTGGTTCAGTAACAGTCAGATCAAGCATGGACAGCAGGCAAGAGAGTGGTCAGGGTACAGGCCAAGGTCCGTATCATCAGAGCAGACAGATGAGCAGGAGAGCAAAACAGGATCCCAAGCCAAGCTGAGGTCAGGGCAGGAGGCATTCAAGCGTGTAAACACCAGCTGGGATCAATCACAAAAGTCAAGTACAGGAACTGACAAAGGAACACAGGAAACGCTGTAGATCAGACAGTAACTGACTAGTACAGCTTCTGCACTTAAATAGTCCATTTGGCATCAGTATTAGCGATGGGTGCATGCACATATGCACATGGCTGTGCACAGCAAATCAAGCACCCACATGCCTGCGCAATTGTATGCGCCTTGGAGCTTCATTTAGTCTAGTGCCAGTATTTCCCTGACATTGCCAGTCACCAGAGGGGTAAGTATTCGGTTTCTTCTGTCTGGAATATGGGTGTCAGTCAATTTAACATGTTAAAGTCAATATAGGATTTTAATGATTTAGCTTTAGATATTTATGTAAAAACAACATCAAAGGCAGCATCCAACATAGAATTTTTTTTTTTACCAAGTAGACTGTGACTCCTGCACCAGCTTAATATACAGAAATTGTACGGTAGATGCAGGCACCACTTATTGGATTTTCTCTCAGCGGTGTATGGTGGAGTAGTGCAATTTGTCTTGAGATCTGTGCTGTCAGGACATAAGAATGGGCAGGTATCCTGTAACTAGTATATATATATATATTTTTTTTTTTTAATAACAAACATGTCAACTTGCCTGCTCTGTGCAAAACAATCCTCCTCTTCTCTGGTCCCCCACCAGCACTGTAGTCCCCTCCCTCCTGCTGAGTGCCTCCAAAACAAGCCTTTCCAAATTCAGATGAGAGTCCTGCTTTAAGTTTGAGTTCATGCTTACCCCTTAAGGCCATGTTCCTCTGTTGGTTAGTAAGAAATGTATTTAGGAGACAGTAGTAGGAGTGAGGACAGCAATGGATGAGTCAGAGCAAAATTCAAAGCTAAAGCTAATGTTTGCATAAATTAGTGTCACATCTGAATTCCTGTCACATCGATCCTGCAATAATAGCTCACAATATGTGGGATATAATTTATCCATATGATTTTTTTTTTCTGCAGCACTACACAAAGGGTGGCTCTACACATGGCTTGTGACAAATGTGAAACGATTGGGCGATGTTGAGGATAGACTGCTTTTAATAAGCATTTTGTAAATGAGAAGCCTGTGATATAATTTTACAGTGTTGTGGAAAACGTAAAAATCTTGTTCAGCTAGGTACTGACTGTCTGCTTTGTTGTGGAGAAAGGGGAACAGACTTTTCTGTACATGTCTGCAACATCCCCACATTGCCCCCAGTCCCCAGTGTTGGCGATCTTTTCAAGGATGGGGAAATGCCTGTAACATACTGTCTGTCATACAAGAACTAAAGAGAGAATGTTTCATGTCAGCATAGTTACTGTTACCTGAATTTTTTACTTTTTTTTTTCCCCCATTCGTGCCAAAATATATAGATGCAAATTAAGCCACATCTTGTTTTTACTGTCCACAGTGGAAATTTGCCATGGCGGATGGAGGAAATGAAGGAAACAGGCAACATCCACACAGTCTCCAGGGACTGCTACATATGGCCATTGAGGCTGGTACAGGATCGGCCGCACCAGACCAAATGGAACAGATGTCTGAAGAGGTATATATCTGCAATCCTTAACTATAGTAAAACAAGGGGATCCTCGCATCCCAATACCTTTTTAAAAAAACACTAGTTGGATTAATTGACCATTGTTATTAGAAGCACTTGATGGAATGGCTCTTAACTGTAAAAATCCCCAGGTAGTCTTACCAGTCAATACCAGTATTTCTGGCAATCTTCTAGGACCACAACATGAGGGCTGGTTCTTCCACATGAAACACCAACAGGGCAGTGAAAAATCCCTCCTACCACCCTTTTCCCTGATTTGAATTAAAAGTAGAATACCTCCACCAGTGCACAAGGCAAAAATATTTTAAAGCCAAAAAAAAAAGATGGGAAGGCAGTTTGTTGTCCTGAAAGATTCACAGAAATACCAATATCAGTAAGACTAACTGGGTACTTCCCTAGGTATCTTTCAGGACTGCAAAATGAGAAGAAAAGCAACTAACAAAAGCCACCCACGGTTGGCATCTGCAGAACTGGTTTCTGCCAAATGTCAGGTCTTGAAAGGGCTCCACTCTATATTAATGAAGGTATGCTGGATTGACCAAATGTCTGCTTGACTGATTTGTTCCACAGAAGATTTTTGTGGCCAGAATGTCACCAAAGATCTGGTAAAATGTGTGGCTTTTTTTGGGAGGTATGGGCAGACAGCTGTAGGCAGATTCTGCAGGAGCCCAACATTGCACCCATGATCAGCAGATCGTGAGTGCAATGCTCTGTAAGCTCAAAGAAAAGATGTGTGAGATGGATGGCTAGATAGATAAATAAATCTAGATCTATTATTTAAAAATCTTTTTTTTTTTTATCCTTTGATATTAAAGGTGACCTTAGCCTTAAATTGTATGGTAAGATTCTTTGACTAGATGAAGATCCCTTACTCTCCTGGCTGTTGTGATGGCTAGAAGAAATAATCTTTAAAGTCCTAAGCTTTAGGGAACAGTCCAGTAAGGGCTTGAAGGATGATCTGGTTAGTCCATTCAGGACCTTGGACAAATCCCAAAGGGGACAGCCTTCTGCTGGACTGACATGGACTGCTAACCAGCTGAAAGGAACCTTTTATTTTAAAAGCAATTTTATGTCTAGAAAGCAAGAGTGCTGAAATTGGAACATGGGGAGTACTAAGAGCTAGATCTTTGTCAGCTCCACTTTGAAGAAATTCTGGAAGAGTTGATACCTGAAATGGACTACTTGTTCTTGGAAAAAGAAGACGATTCAGTCTGAATTGCAGAAGCCAAGGAGGTTGCATCAGTATTCTATGAAGATCTGCCAAGTATGTTCTTCTGAGCCACTAGGGACCTTGTCTTTGCCAGACCCTAGTGTGTGTGTGTGGTGTGTGTGTGTTTTTTTTTTTTTTTTTTTTTTTTTTGTTTTTTTTTGAGCACTCGATCAATTCACAAATAAGTTGGGAAAAACATACTCCAGGCTGAAATTCCAATTTTGGGCTGGGGCATCTATCTAATCTAAGAATCTTTTTTTTTATTTTGCTAGCAAAAAGAAATGTTCTACTTTCCTGTTCTCGCTGAAAACAAATGTACGGCAGGCATGCCACACTTACTGTTAATCTGCAGAAAAACACCTGAGTGGGGAAGTCTACCACATCATTCGATGTTCCTCTTGTGGACTTGTGGAGATATTTTCTTCCACACAAAACAAAATCTGAGCCATCTATAATAAGGTTCAGGAGATCTTGTGCCTCTTTGGTGATTCAGTTATGCCCACGTGAGAGCATTATCAGAAAACAATTGTACTTTTTGATTCTTTACTAATGTCTGAAAGGCCTATAATGCTTTCTGTACTGCAGTTATTTCTCTCAGGTTGTTAGACGCTTGACCTACAAACCTCCCTGAACTTGATGACTTTGGACATTTATCCCTCAAGAACTAGTATTCATGGTAATCTTTAATGGGGCAACTTTGCCCAACAGACAAAAGTAAAGACTGCAGGGCTCTTGAGCGCAGCTGGACCCAAGTCAATGGCAGTATTCAGCAATAGTCAAACCTAAGAACTTCATGATCACTCTTAGGGTGGCCACTGAAGTGACCTGCTACTTTGTTATACTGTTCTTGGAGATCATATTTTCTGGTAGAAAAATATTTTTGAGCTACTGAGTCAATCTTGTGGCTCAAGAAAACTCTGGCCTGAATAAGAATCAAAAGGACATTTCTCAGACTGTTTTAAACCTCCCTGGCGGTATGAATTTCAGATTTTTGGTGACTGAAAGCGTGTACCATTTTTTTGAGTATTTTTTTTATTGTTCTGTAATTTTTAGGAAAAACTCACTGAAATCTGTCCGAACAAGAGTCTAGTAAACATCCCGGGTATGATAAAATTTGAAACACAAAATCATAAATTATAATTTAATAAATAATCATAAAAATAATATAAAAATAATAAAAAATTTAATTCAATAATATAATCAAACCAAAAACACTGAAATGTGAAATAGAGCGCCAAGTTTGCACATTGCTGAGCTCAGTCGCAAAATCGTTTTCAGTTTCTGATGACGAATTTCCCCCACGAATCATTATCACTCAATTCTGTAAGTGGTTCTGATTTACTATCGCTGTTCTCTAGCTGATCTAAACCGCTTTTGACCTAATTTGGACGCCATGGACATTTCTCACTTTCCAGGCAGAAAGAACAGACAAAATGCAGGCAGGGCGCAGGACAAAGCACTAGGGAAATATGTATGTGAAATAGGTTGAGACAGCAATGTTTTACTGTGTAAAATGAAAAAAAAAAAAAATGACATTTTTTAAAATTTTTAAATTTCCCGCCGCCGGCGGCGGCGGCGCCCTAACGTCCCGACGTCACAGGGACAGGACACAGAAGCCGAATGCCGGCATCGGCCGGAGGAGATGACGCTGCAGGGGACACATCGCGGGAGCGCAGGGTAAGGTAAGTGAAGAAACACATGCCGGAGCAGTGCCGCATGGTATTCCTGAGTGTAGCTCGGGTTACCGCTTTTGGTACTGAAATGTTACCCCGAGCTACACTCGGGAATACCGCCAAGGAGGTTAAGGTGACAAGGACCTTTTGGAGATCCTGTTTAACTTTCTGTTCTGGTGAGATTGTCCTTCAAGTAGGGAATTTTAGAAATTTAGCAAAGATATAGGGCATCCATTCTATTAGAATCTTGATGAAGATTCTGGGTGATACCAAGAGACCAAACGGCAAGGCACATAACTGCCAGAGAAGAAAACCTGTTTCAAAAAAAACCACAAACCTCAGGAATATTTGATGTGCAGGATGAATTGGGAAATGCAAGTATGCATCCTTTAGATTCAAAGTGATCATTAATACCTCCCATTTGTGCACCATGTAATTATTTTTTTTTTATTTTTTTCTGAACTCCCTGAGTGGACATACATCATTTTCTTGGTGTTGAGGAACCCAAAAAGGTGTTTTGGGTTTTTTTTTTTTTCCTTTTTGTATGGATGAAGTGTGCATCTTTTTCCTCTGCAGCAGACTATTGTGCTATTTGTTTGTATGAAAAGGTAGGGCTTTTTAAAAAAATATTGGTTTGATACATTAGACTTGTAAGGGATTATTGGTGAAACCTGAATTTATAAAATGAAAGTAATCTTGTCACCAATGTCAAAATAAGCCAGTTACCTGAAAAAAAAAAATACAGTAACCTGCCTTGCTTTCATATCCTACTGAAGAATCGTCCTATGAAGCCAGCTGTTATAATAGCTGGAAAAATTGATCTATGTTCCTTTACTCACTGTTGTGTTTTTTTTTTTCTTTTCTTTTTCTTTCCCTCTGACCTCCACATCACTACAGGACAAAGTTTTGGAGTGAAGGTCAGCGAAAGGAACTAGTGAGGGTTGTGGGAAATTCGGTTAATTTCAAAAGTGATGTGATTGACATTGTGTCTGTCATTTTTACGTCTTGTTGATTTTGAACATTCTATTACATTATTATACACTCACCAGCCACTTTATTAGGTACACCTTGCTAGTGCCGAGAAAATATGCCCCACCTCATCACACCAACACCGCCAGACTGAACCGTTGATACAAGGCAGGATGGATCCATGCTTTCATGTTGTTTATGCCAGATTTTGACCCTACCATGTCTCAGCAACCAGTCTGCCCATTCTCCTCTAACATCAACAAGGCATTTTTGTTCGTACAATTGCTGCTTACTGGATATTTTTTCTTTCTCTGTAAACCCAAAAGAGTTGTGTGTGAAAATCCTAGTAGATCAGCAGCTTTCAAAATACTTAGACCAGGCCGTGTGGCACCAACAACCATGCCACATTCAAAGTCACTTAAATCCTCTTTCTTCCCCATTCTGATGTTTGGTTTGAACTTCAGGAAATTGTCTTCACCACATCTACATGCCTAAAAGCATTGTTGCTGCCATGTGATTGGCTGATTAGCAATTTGTTTTGCCAAGCAGATGAATAGGTGTACCTAATAAAGTGGCTAGTTAAGTGCCTGAATTTGGCTTTATTACAACATCATGTACAACAGCACTGAGAGAGAGAATGGCACCATTAGGAGTCACTCAGAGTCTGCTTGATGAGCATGTGCTGACCAGGACCATGCTGGCAGGAATTAAAAGCAGAGAGGTGACCTTTTATAATTCTGCTACTGCTCATTCACTAATCAATTACACCCTGGGGCAGGGAAGTGACCTAGCTGTATGGTAATAGAGCAAGTACACCCCAAGAATAGGGATGTGCTCAGACTTCCCAAAGCAAAAAAAAGTGATCAGGGTTATAGTATGTCAAAGGAGTTGTCATTATCAAGATTGTCAACAAGTGTTCAATAGGGTTTTTTTCAAGAATGCAAGGTTCACACGTCAGCAGTGTCTGTAGCCTCTCCTCTAGGTAAGGTCTGAGGTGCTTCCCACCAAAACCCATGTGGAGAAAGACCAATAAAAGGAGAGAAAAGCGTTACTGACTGAGTGTAGCATATATAGCAATACACAAGTTAAAAAAAAACAAAACAGATAATGCACTCACATAAATTGAGATAGATAGA